GATAACTGACTCTTATTTATGACAACTGCAGTATTCCCAGGTCAGAAGGTTTTGCAACCTGAAAGTCTTCCCATTCCCATTCCCAGACAATGAAGACCCACCCATCTTTATAGTAGGAAGTAAATTCATAGTATTACACAGCCATGTGTAATTAGTTAGAACAACAAAGTTGCTTCACTTCTTTTACATAGAATACTACTGCTGAGCATATCATTAGAAGCAAAATATTGTTAATTTCCAAATAAAACCGTCAAACACTACCTTCAGAGGAAGCCAATTTAGAACTCCTGACTACAAAAGGAAACTCACTGGCTTTGACAACTCCCAAAACACTTAGAGTACATCAGTTTACAAAGACAACTTCACCTCCATGCCTTTTTTCCAGATACTTTATTGCACAATTATTTCACCAAAAGAAAGGAAACAGCCAGAGGCTGTTACGGGTAAGCCTCAGATGTGTCAAGAAATAAACACCAGAAAGAAAAGGAGTATCTCCATGGCATACTTACACTCCCAGGGGAAGGCAGGTGTGAGAGACTGAACAAGCTTAAGGAGAACTTCAGTAGAAAAATAGGGCTCTGTGAGGGGCCAAAGGGCTGCTCTTGAGTCTTTCACGTGTCCTAGGCATTTCCGTTTGACAGCTCCCAGGTTGTCAGAACAGAGGGAAATGGGCATCCCATAAAAACCCGGAATCCCAGCTGCGCTTCTGAGAAGCTGCACTTCCCTCCCTGATTCCAGAGGAAAGTAGGGGATGCTTAGCCAAGCGATGTGGCTGCTCGACCGAGGCTTCGGAGACCAGGTGAGCCGCCAGGTGAGCAAGGAAGACGCCTTTCTTAAAGAGGAACGAGGGGCCCGGGTGACGTTGGTTCTCCCCTTCGCCGGGAAAAGGAGACCTATCAAGCCACGGGCAGGGAAATTCAATGGAAGGAGCCCCCACCCCCACCCCACGCAGCTACAAAGGCAGGAGATTCCCGGGAAGCTGCAACCCCCGCGCCCCTGAATTTTGCACGGCAGAAGCGCCGCGCTCCTCGGGAGCGAGCTGTCATCGCTCCCGCGCTGCAAAATAGGAAAGACCGACGGTTTTCGGGCTTCGCGACGGATGCGGCACCCCGGCCTCGGTCCCCCCCCACCCACCCAGCGCTCACCTCAAGGTGGGTCCCACACAGGCCGTCTCCGTACTCTCAATCTCTTGCAGGATCCGCTCATGCTCCGGCAAGCTCTCCGCCATCTTGCATGGGAGGGGAGAGAGGGAGGGAGACGGAGAGACAGACAAGAGGGCGGGGAGGGGGCGGGGAGGGGGCGGGGCCATCCGTTGCGGAGTCGAAACGAGCGAATCAGCGCGGAGGGCGGGCGCCCGCGACCTTCAGAGCGGCTGACGGCCTCCAGATGTGTCAAACTACAACTCCCATGCTCCTGGTAGTCCGGAACACTGGGGGGGGGGGTGTCTATGTTCTAAAAGCACCTTGCATACCTAAAAGTATGCAAACTCTTTTTATGCATTTTTTTCCTTTGGCGTGAAAAGGGAATAGTGTATCATAACGTTGTGTCTTAACCTTGGCGACTTTAAGATCTCTAGACTTCAACTCCCAGAATTCCCCAGCCAGTTGAAGTTCACACACCTTAAAGTTGCCAAGGTTGAAGCGCGCTGGTATGAAGAATCATGCTCTGTTCTCTTCTGGTGTAAGAGTAGCTTTTAAAGAAAGCCAAAGGCAGGCAAGGTTTAAAAATTACAAGAGAAATCCGCAGTTGGCCAAATGTTGCTGAAGTTCCAGAGACATGGAACATAATGCAACACCAGGATAGCCAAAGGTTTTCTACCTTCTGGTTAAATGTTACCAGAAGATGTTGCACCAGCCTCACCTGAATATGCCTGAGTTCCTGCAAAGTGATAAAGTAATTAAAATATTGGAAATACTTTTTTTAAAAAAATGAGATTCTTTTAATTTTGAGACAACAGCATCTTCTTTTCAAGGAGAAATGTGTTCTTTAAAAAAAGGAAATATAATTATTTTTCTCCTAAGAATCTGTATTTTCTGAACATGACCAAATATACTATATGTGCACATTATAACCAGGATGTAGGGCAGAAGGGGGCAGGCCCCCAGGTGGATTTCTTTTAAAATTATATACTGTAAATGAGAGAGAGATAAACTGAGTCAATTGTGACCTCTGATGACTCCATGCATATTGGTATGTTCACTTAGTTTTGGAGTGATAATATGGAAACCCCTGACCTTTGCTTTCGTCAGGAGTGTCCAGAAGATGTGGTCAAAAAAGTCAAGGCAGCAGTCATAACACTGTGATCAAACTCTGCTTGTTTTTTATGTACATAGCCTACATAAAAAACTGGCAAAGCTTGATAGGATGACAGCGGTAAGGTGTTTTATGCCCTAAGATGGAAAGAAAAATATATACATACAATGGAAGAATGGATTTAGAAATTAATGGAGCTAAATGAGATAGCAAAATTTCATGCTACCAAGAGACCATTAACAGATTTATTACAGGATAAAGAGAAGAATCAACTTTTGAGTCTGGGTTTTGAAGATTAGAATAGAATTGACTAGAGAAATATTGTAGCTTTTTAAATATAAGGTTATATACGTTTGATACTTTATTCTTTTAGATGAAATTAACAGAAGAACATTTTATGAATACTGACGTTTAGTAAATTGACTATTAGTATTTTAAAATATTTTATAAGTGTTATTTATTTAAAATTAGGAAGAGCTGGTTTATTGTTAACATATCTGTCCCAAAAGAAAGTCGCTCGGCTTTGTTATATTTGTTAAAGTTTTTTTTTTTTTTGCATTTTTAATGTGTTTTATCATTCCCTTTGTTTTTTATGTTAGTTTGGAATGTAATGTATGATGTCGAAACTCAATAAAGATACTTTAAAAAACAGGAAGTACTGCAGTCGCACCATCATTGCCACCATCTTGATTTATTTTTACCTTACCCTATGGAAATACCTGGCTGTTTTCGTCAACTTTTTTTTTCATTTCCCAAAATAGCCTGTGACTCTGAAATCCAAAGTACAGCATACCCGCTGCTTGCACAGCCCGGTAACCAATGAGCCAAGGCCCGGTACCGGCCCATGGGCCAGGGTTAGGGACCTCTGCAACACAATATACAGTAACCATTTTTGAATCAAGGTACCTAAAATCCTCCAACTTAAAAAATGCATTAAAAAATCCAGGATCCATTATACTCCTGTGGAAATGAAATTTCCAAAAAGTTCGTATCAGTTTTATTCACAAAATGGTGGTCATGGCAGTGTCCCTGCAGTCACATGACCATGATTTCTGACACTCGGCCAGCTTCCCATAAGCAAAATCAATGGGGAAGCCTGTTCCACCTATCTGTTTAGGTAAGTAAATATAGACTTATTGAAGTTTGTTTGCTGTTACAATTATTTTGCTATGTATGATATATATTCTTTTTAGGTGATCATCACGCAGCATTGGAGTAAAAAAAAAAAGGTCAGCCTAAAATGTAATGTTTATTCTGGTTACATGAGACTGCACTACTTTTCTCTCAAAGGATAACTGAACAGGTCACAGGGCTGCCTAGTATTAACTAAAAGGAGACTGGGGGAGGGGGGGAACTCTGCTGTAAGAGTCACAATCTCAAATATATGGTATTAGGGCAGAAAGGAATGGTGATCAATGAGGGTGGCATTTCTCTACAGTTCTATTTGAGCCAGTCTTCCCACCAAGGAGCTCTTGTTTGAATGACCAATTGTACCTCTTGTCCCTTTGGCCAATGGAAACGGATATGGATAGGCCAGGAGGAGCTGCCATATCTACCTTGCAGATAAGCTGCAGCTTGTCCTTCAATATAAGGGCCAAGCTGGTCTCTTTTCTGTAACGATGTTCTTCCTAAGACCTTTGTCCTCTACCAATGGATGAAGCAGAATGTGCTTCCTTTCAACTTTCCAGTCTCAATTTTTGTTTTATTTCATATTAGAATGGTATAAAGGTGGATAAACAAACAATATGAAATATTATCTACATATATGATTTCCAATTTTATAAATATTGTGAGATAGAAACCTTGCAAATAAGTTTTTACAACCCAACTATGCCAACTTGGCTTGCATTTTAACTGGTTCTGTCCAGATGAGATAAGTGAGAACAGAAGGAAAGTATTAAAATGAAGAAAGTATAAACCCAAAAAGTTTCTTCTTTCAAGAATGAAAAGCACAGCCACTGCTTGGTATAGCTGCAACAAAGCTTGGTTTGATGAGAATTAAAATGATTAAAATTCTTTCCCCCCCTTATTCGTATTATAAGATTTTGTATATTGTGTTACAAGAGGAAAATTCCCCAGGACCATGACTTTGAATAAGTATATTTTCTCTAGTAAACTGATACTTAAAGTAACACTGTGCTATTTTAAAATAGTCAGTCAGGTGCTAAAAATAAACTTGAGGGTCATGCCTTGCAATTTAACATATAAATGACCATGAAAACATAAATATTTCTTATTTATTTTAGGCTGCTGAATCTTGACATATAAATTTGCTATTATGAATATCAGAGAATTCTATACTTTATTCCATGAGTTATATAATTAACAGCAGACACAACTTCTAATAAAAAAGGATTATGTGCAGGGAGTGGGGTGATTCAAAATAATAAAAAAAACATAATTGGACTTTCATATACTTCAGTCCCACCACAATCTGCCATCAGCAAAACTGGCTCAAAAGAGAAAGCCAAATAAAGTCTCAGTGATGAAAGAACAGTCTTTTAAATTAATTAAACAGCAGTGTCCTGAACATAATGAGAGAAATGTAATTCACTGTAGCCAAGCTCTATGTTGCAATTTTGAGGTATAGTTTTGAATTAGCTACTTTAGAAACAAATCTAACCCCCACTGAGGTTAGTAGAATGGTGCAATAGCTCTGCATTTTGTAACAAGAATAAACAAACAAAGCAAAAACTGGAAAAAAGGAATCAATAGAATAAAAATGTTCTTTACAGTATAGTACTTACCCTAAAGTGATTCCTAAAGGCAGCTCCAGGTATTTAATCTCACCAAGGACAGTTTCATATACATTATCTTTGTTTTCCTCCAGATTAAATCCTTGTAGATTGGTGCTTGTTGCCATAATCAAGTATTAAATTGTTCCAGCCAGTAGGTGAAGATTTTCTCTTTTTTTAATATCACAACATGTGTCTTGCCATCAGCAAGGGAAAACAGACCTTGGTATGACTTGGTAGTCCTATAGACTTTCTCTTATTCACCAATGTGAGCAGCACAGCTGTTGTTTCTATTTCCTGGCTGGTAACCTTTGGTAACCTGGCCCTGAGCTCAAAACTTCTCTGCAACCAAATCTGATACATGTTTTAAAAGAAAATAGAATGCATCCATTAAAATAATAGATATTTATAGAAAGTTGTGTATCAGTAAAATGGAAGAGTTTGTGTGTTTAGGAGGAAACAGCTGTTGGTTTAAAAGTAATTTACACTTTTAACTTCTGGATAAGTTTGATTCTTCAATTAGATAATGTCACTTTTTTCAGCTTTATCCACTAGCTTCAGAGAAAGTCCACACAAATAAAGAAAAGTGATTATTTTAAAAATATGCAATTGGTGGCAGTCCTACCACCAATAGGAGGAGCTGGAGATCTCAAGTGCAGCTTCTTACCTTTAAAAAAAAAAAAAAAAGGGAGGAACAAGAAAGATATATTATGGTATGGAGAAGATGGATAGATTATATTCAGATTAAATATGGGAAAAAAGTTCCATTTATTTTATGATTAAATTTTAAATAATTATTATTATTAACAGCATTTTATAATGGAAATTATTTAGTTTATTTATTGTTATTATGGTACTTTATAATTATTGTTTTAAAATGGATTTGTTTATAATATTATGATATTAAGGTTTAAAGGGAGTTAAGGGTTAAGTATGAATTTGGTTACTGTATAATTTGTTAAATTTAATTAGATTTTGTTTAATATGTTTGTAATAACCCTGTACTCAGCTCTGGGAAGTGGGGGGGGAGGGGTGGGGGGTGGGTTTGGGAGTTAAATTTTTTTTTTGTTAATTGTTAATAAAATTTTTCAATAAAAAAGGAGGGGGGGAATTCCATAAGATCATAAAGTAAAAGTTAATGGCTTCCTTGAATCAAGTTCAATCTTCGATGACAACAGTATGGGAAAAAGTGGACTTTTGAATATTTTCTGATTTCCCAATCTAGTCGACAGCCCCTTCTAGTCTCCTAATTCAAGGTCAAATCAACTACAGTTCTACACAGCCTTTAGTTCAGTCAAGATTGATAAAGTATTGCTATTTCCTGCTAGATTAAATGACTCTAAAATTACCTAAATGCATCACATACTTGAGGTTTTATGTTTCTGCTACTCTTCAGAGTTAAAGCAAACATGCTTATTTGTTCCTTGCTAGACTTTGCTTATCCCATGCTTTTTTTTACACAATGTGAAATAAGAGTTTTTCAAATAATCTTTGCAAGAGAGCCTAACTTCATTTTCTCTGTACTGTATACACAACCTGCCCCCCCCCCCTGCTGCATTAGGAAGTACATGCTACAGTCCTCCAAGGCACTGCTCCTTCAGTACAGATGGGCTGGCCTCTTTAAATAATTCACCACTGGATGTCACACAAGCACAGATGAAAGAATTATCTTGACAGTAGCTATTGCAGTTTTGAGACTATATACATAAGGTCAGATTAGATATTAGGTATTAGGTAACTAGACACTTGTTTGAAACACCTAACCAAGTTCAATGATGATAAAATCATTAACTATGACTAAGCAATTAATAACAATGTGCATGAGTCAGGCATTACACAGAAGACTGACAAATTCAGGAAAGGGAGTATTCTTTGCTCCTAAAAAAGGGCTGCCTTGCAGGAAAATGGGCGTTGAAAAGCATTTGTCTCATTAACCAGGGTCAGTTTCACTGTATGTTGGACCCAAGTAGACATTAAGCAAGCAATTCTATTTCATTCCCTTCAGATCCTTGTAAGCCTTTGGTACATGTCTATTAATCAGATATTCCCAATCAGGATATTCCAGATATATACAAGTTTATAAAAAATGGTAACACTACCTTACTCCCAAGTGGCTCGTATGTTCCACAGAGTGAAAGGAATCTAGTTGTTCTTCCTGACTTTGGCCTGGTTCACGCAACTCATTAAACTCATGATGTAGTTTGCCTAGAAAAGAGTTGATAGGTTGTGTGAACAAGTCATTCTGATTTATTTATCAACTTTTACTGAAGCTTTGTGTAGCTCAAGTTAGAGTTTACATCTTTAATACTACAAATTACAGGTATATTTGGCTGGTTTTGGGGGGAGGGGTAAAGCATAATGCACCTGTTGAAGGATTGAATGGACCTAAAACCAAATGGGAACCTTCTGAACAATACAATCCATTGGATAATCTCAGTCAGTCATACACTTTCCCCTGGGACGTTAAGGACTTTATTAAGATTGGGAAAATCAAATGAATAACTCTCATATTCATTATCCTGAGCAAATAGAAAGAATATGAGCTCAGTGTACTATTGTTATAATTATCAACTGATCTGAAAATGTGGATTTCCAACACATCTGAAGATGCTACTTTGGATAACAACTGACTGGCTAGATCCAGATGACATATTTAATCCTAAACCCAGATTTTAAAAAATCCAAATGCATAGATTTATACAGTGAGCTTTGCTCGAATAATTCTACCTCATTATGGCTCAATGTAACAGTTTGTTTCTACGGTATCAGGGAAGGGCAAAAAAGTCAAAATGACAGTCATGATCATATAATCAAACCCCCACCCCTTTTACATGGAGCTTCAGTTGCAGGATTGTGGCCACAATTATTTTTCATTTTACTTCCTCTATGGATGTCCTTGTTTGATTAACACAAGACGCTGATCTAGAGGCGGGGAACCACAGTTCCCCACTATTAGATCAGCATCTTGTGTGAATTCCCTAATCCTATTTTAGTCTGGTACCTTTTGTCAACCCAATACAGGTAGTCCTCGACTTGCAACAGTTTGTTTAGTGACTGTTTGAAGTTGCTACGGCACTTTAAAAAGTGGCGTATGACCATTTTTCGCACTTAGGATCATTGCAGCATCCCCCGAGGTCATATGATCAAAATTCAGCCACTTGATAACTGACTCTTATTTATGAAACGTGCAGTATTCCCAGGATCATGTGATCACCTTTTGCAACCTTCTGACAAACACAGTCAATGGGAAAACCAGATTCATTTAACAATTGTGTTACTAACTTAACAATTGCAGTGATTTCCTTAACAATTGTGGCAAGAAAGATCATGAAATGGGGCAAAATTCATTTAACAACTGTCTCACTTAACAACAGAAATTTTGGGCTCAGTTGTGGATGTAAATCAAAAACTACCTGTAATTCTTTTTCAGTATAATCTCTTTCACATCTCCAAACATGGAAATGAAACTGGGCTATCATTTTCACAGCACATCCCCCTATATTATTTTTCAATAGCCATTATAGCTAAATATTTTTGTTGTCCCTAAAATGGATTGCTTTTTCCCTAACAGGCAACACACTAATTATATCAAAATACCCCAAAAATTCAATTTGCTGAATAATTTATAGGAATCCTCAGGCAAACAAAGGATTCACACAATTTCTGATGGTTTACTGCTCAACAAGAAAAGAAAAATCACTGTTTTCTTAATGTATTCTACCCATAATATATTTTGAATCAGTACTGCTGATTTAGAATAAATTCTAAGTTCAGATCTGATGAACTTTTGACACAAATAAACTATGTCTATAACCACCTGAACTATTTTTTCCAGTTTTCTGAAAATGTAAAGCAGGTTTTGCAATTATCTGTGGCTGCTTAAAATGCAATCAATTTATATTAGTAAAAAATGCAGATGGGTGAATAAGTACCTGTTTAGAAAGGAAATGAGACCACTCAGAAATCACAGTCATTTCTATATCTTGGGAGATTTTTTTCAATTTTTTTCCCGTGCTTTCTGGGAAATTCTGGGAGTTGGAAGTCCAGACATCTTAAAGTTGTCAAGTTTGAAAAACATTTAGATAGGCCTTTCAAAGATGATATTGCAAATAAGATTTTCTATAGCAATCTTAGTACAGTTTTTACTATAAATTTAAAAGATGCTCTTGAAATGCACTGCATGCTCTCCAAAACGTACCAAAGAGTACAGTTAGATTTCAAGCCATTGATGGCTAGAACAAACACTTCTCCCTAATAAATTGTCTCTCCTCCTGTCTTCATTTTAAAAAAATCCCATTAGCGGTATCCTATTAGCAGGAATCCCCATGCAGAATGGCTATTGTTGAGTGAGCAAACAGGCTTCCTTGAAGTCTTCTGCAGTATCTTCCCATGTGGTGCCAGCCAGAAGCAATTTAAAAAGTCATCTGCATATAATCTCTCCTTGTAATCCAACACTCAAATAGGTGAGTATGATCACAAAAGAGGCAGATAAGAGAAAATAGTGTCAAGGCCATTATATTACTCACTACTTAGTAACAACCTTTATTAGCAGCTCTTGATTGTTCAATTGGCAGGCTCCTAAAGGAGATTTTCTAGAACAGTGTTTCTCAACCTTGACAATTTTAAGGCATGTGGACTTCAACTCCCAGAATTCCACAGCCAGCAATGCCTTAAAATTGTCAAGGTTGAGAAACACTGTTCTAGAACATCAGTCAATACCGTTTTTAAAATAAAATATCAAGGCCCTGCATTGGTTGTTACAAAACGCTTCAGAAAGTCTTTTGAAGGAAAAAGAGTTCCAGAAACTGAAAAAATGCTGAGGTAAGTAGGGATCATTCAATAAATGCTCCAAAATTTCCTAAAATACAAAGTTATACTCAATGTCTACTAGAGGAGATGAAACTAGTGAGCAAAATTATGAGGTTTGCACTGGAAACTCTGTAGATTTTTTCATAAGCATTTCAACTGGATGACAGTTTTTAGTTCCTCTTTTTTACACTCTACAGTTTCCTTCCTTCTCAGTAAATTCATGATTTGTTAATATTATTGTGGAATTCATATACACTAAGTATTGTGGTAGGATATAAAAATTTTATTCTTTAGATAAGGTTGAAACGCTAAGCCCCATTATTCAAGGAATATCAAACAAGTTTAATGACATTGTGTGTTCTTATGACTTTGTAAAAGACTTGAAATTTGAAAGGCTTGGAAACTGAAAAAAATACAAATTAATTCTGTTAGTGATT